TATATATATATATATATATATATATATATATATATATGTGTGTGTGTGTGTGTGTGTGTGTGTGTGTGTGTGGGTGTGTGTGTGTGTGTGTGTGTGTATATATATATATATATATATAATAATATATTATATATATATATATATATATATATGCATGTATGTATGTATGTATTATGTATGAATATATAAACACGTTCGTTCATAAATTCATTGCATTGTTCACATAGACACATGGATATGATAAACATCAGGAGACCGTTCAAGATTGATTTAAACGTTTACTTTCGTATTGCTGTTTTTTTTAACATTTCTCTCACAGAGAATGTACAGAAAATGCCATTATTCAAATATCTCTTAGGTTTGAAAGTATATTTCCGCGTTCGTGTCCCTCAGGTACGAGCAACTTTGCCCGACGAGTCGCCTGCCGCGGGGGTGCCAGTGGAAGTGTGTGCGGCAGGGAAATGCGCCAACCTGACCACAGCTGAAGATGGCCTTATAACCGCTGTTGTAATGTCTGACAAGGCCAACAGGATTTTTGTGAGTTGTCTTCTTTTCTTTCCCTTTGCCTTTATTCTTACCGGTTTCTCTCAGACATTTCATATACGGACTGTTCTCATCGTTTGGTCCTTGATTATTTTCCTTCGTTCACCTCTCTCTATAGGTCATAAGACATACATCCTAATGTATAATCTCACTTTTACTTTCAATCTATCCTCTTTCCCCAATTCTACTCCAATGCCCCTTAGAATCTACTCTCCGGGCGCTAAATGCTAACAAAATAACACCTTGAACAGTACCACGATGTCGAATTCCCTCCGTAAATAACTTATAACAAAAGCATTTCCTCATGCGCACGCCCATCTCTTTCTCCTTACAGATGTCGACGCTTAACTGTCGTGCAGGCATGCATTCAGACGTTTATTCACAAGACCTCGAACACTACTTCTCGCCCTCGAACTCATCTCTGCTCATCTACGCCCCCGAAGGTCGTCTGAAGTGCGTGTCAGGTCAGGGAGTCCAGCACGACCTCCAACTTCTCTTCTCCGCCACCAACCAGGTCAAAGGGACGCTGAAGATTATGGTAATGAAAATGAGTTAAGCAAATTTACTGTAACACTTGATGGAGTTAGTCGTTTCATTTATGGCTTTCGTTTATGAAATTCATTGTTTTTTGTTTGTTTGTTTTTAGGATTAATGGTATTATCCCTTTTGGGTTTATTCGATATTATCATAGTTATTATTGATAAGGTGATTATAATTGTTATTGATGTTGTTACTAATTTTATCAGCATTCTTATTTTCATCCTCACAGCAACAGTTCCATTAATATCATTATTATACCTGTAGAATAACCATTACCTCTTTCAGCAGAGAACAATAATCATGAGGCTTGGAAATTCGAGGAAACGGTCACAATAAGTAGTGAATAAAACGCGGCATTTTCCTGCAGGTTATTTCGAGAGGAAGGATGCAAAAGTGGTGGGAGGAAGAGGTTGAGTTCACACAGGGGCCTCTCCCAGTCGATGCTGAACACCTCGTGGACGCCCCCAGTACCCCCACACCCCCTACCATCACGGGCGTGGTGAACTTGTCCGTCACCCTCCCGCCCACAGCCTCGCCGAAAGCCAAGGTTTAAATGGGTTATGGGCGATAGCGTGTGTGCGTCTGTATGTATCTGTGTGCATCTGTGTACGCGTCTATGAGGGAGAGAGAGGGAGAGAGGGAGAGGGAGAGAGAGTGAAAGGGTAGGGAGGGGATGAGGAGAGATACATTGATAGAGAGAGGGGGGAGGAAGGGAGAGAGAGAGAGAGAGGAGCAGACAGACAGAGAAAGAGAAAGAGAGAGTCAGGGTTTGAGGGAGAGAGAGAGAGAGAGGAGTGGGTGAGTGAGAGAAGGGGTGCAATCGTGCTGACATATGTGCATATCCCCATCTTTGCTAAAAATGATAAAACTCGAGCATGAGACAAAATGACCCCCCTCTCCCAACAGCTCTTGATTTGGTACACGAGAGAAGACGGGGAAGTGGTGTCAGACACAAGAGAACTGGAGGTGGAGAGGTGTACTACAAGCAAGAGCAGCCTTACCTGGTCTGCCGCAGAGGGGGAGCCAGGGGAAGAGGTGAAACTGGCGCTGGTTGGAGAGCCCGATGCTGTCTGCTCTTTGGGTCTGTGTCAAGCGTTGGTACATTGCTAGTATATTAAGATTGAAAATTAAGATAGACTAAATAAGATTGAAAAATGAAATAAATAATAAAATAAAATAAAACGAATGGATAAATAAAATAAAATGAAAATTAGAAATTAAAGATGCTGAAAAAATATTAACTTGGGAAATAATGTTTATTGCTCCCACGAAAATGGCTGATGTTATTTTGATATCATTTATATATCTAACAGACATTATTTATTGATCACAGGTTTTGCATCCATGACTGTAGATTAATATGAGACATATTGAGGGAAAAAAACGAATTCAGGAAATGATATATCCGGTAATCTTTGCTCTGCCTCTTCGAAAATTCGCACTTAGGGTTCATACAAAAGAAAAGCACAATTGGCCCAAACTCGTTTCTCACCCACAACAGGCGTCGTCGACAGAAGCGTAGAGTTAGCGTCGCAGGAGCCTGACCCGCTGACCCTGGACACCCTCTTCAACTACGTGGCTGACTTCGAGGTGGGGGAAACCAGAGCACAGCTGGACACTCACGAATACTGCCTGAAAAAGCTCGAAGAAGAGAGGGCAGCGGCGGCAGAGGAAACAATGAAAGGTTTTTGCAAATGAATATTGCTTTTGCGTTTGAGATGATTTTCGTATGCTTGATATCATTTCTTCGGGGAGGAAGGGAGGGGGGGAGGGATTTACTCTTCAGTAGCCACACATATACATGCACACACAGATACACAGGAACGCACTCATTCTAACACACACAGACACACATACCTACACACACACACACACACACCACACACGTACACGCACAGGCACACGCAAACACACATATATATGTATTCATACATGATTATTATATAATATATTATATATATATATATATATATATATATATAATATATATATATATATATATATATATATCATGTATGAATACATATATGAATATACGTATATATATATATATATATATATATATATATATATATATATATAATATATTATATNATATATATATATATATATGCTACGTGTGTGTGTGTGTTTGTATATACGAGTATGTCATAAGCGTCTTTTGATGTCCATAACCGTATCCTTTTTTCTCCAGAAGGTTATGTGATGCACAATTACGCCTGGTACACGAGTCCTTACGTTGATGCCCTCTGGATGTTCGCCGTAAGTATTTAGCGATCATAATCTCAACATTCTCTCTCTCTCGCTCCCTTTCTTTCTTTCTCTCTCTCTCCCTCCCTCTCTATCTCTCTTTCTCTTTCTCTCTCATCTCTCTCTCATCTCTCTCTCTCTCTTCTCTCCTCTCTCTTCTCTCTCTCTCTCTCTTCTCTCTCTCTCTCTCTCTCTCTCTCTCTCTCTCTCTCTCTCTCTCTCTCCTCTCTCTCTCTCTTTTATTATATATTTAACTATTGCCGTGATGTACAGTCCTGAATCTCGACTTATTTTATCGATATTTCAGAACTCTGGCTTGCTCGTGTATAGCAACGCCATCATTGAGAACAGACCTTGCGAAGCAACAGGTAACTAAGCCTTTTATGTATTATTTGACTTGCCTTTCTCTTCTCTAAAAAAAAAAAAAAAAAAAAAAAAAAAAAGTCTATGACTGAGATTTAAAAAAAAAAATGCAAAACAATACGAAATAGTATTCTCTACCCTTTTATTAAAAAAAAAAAAAAAACTAACTTCGCAGAAAATTTTCTCAAGATGGCGGAAGACAGATTCGGACTCCACCCCTCGATTACCCGGATGAGCGGGGACGTGTCACCGAGAGACAAATTCCCGGAGACGTGGCTGTGGGAGCTCGTCGTGCTGCCGTAAGCTCGTTCCTCGGTCCTCTTGTTCAATGGTTTCCTCTCGGTATACGTAATTCATTGCATAGTTTATCCTCGTTTAACGTGATGAGTTGAAAGTGTTTTTTTTTTTATTAAGGGATCTGTTTTGATTAATTCATTAATTTGTTTATTTGTCTGAATATTCATCTCTTCATTATCGTCATCATCGTTATTACAATTACTGGTACTAGAAATATTTATCATCGTCTAACGTGGTAAGTTGAAAGTGAGGCAATTTTTTGTGATTTAGGCATCTGTTTGTATTATTTTATTGTTTATTTGTCTTAACTATAATCATTATTACTTCCTTTTGTTATTATTATTGTTATTATAATTATCATCAATATTGTCATTATGTTTCATTGATTATATTATTATCAAAATATAATCAATCTTATCCTTATCATTATTGTTATTGATACCATTGCTATTATCATTTCTATAATCCTCATTACTACCATAATTAATATTAATGCCATCATCATCATTGTCATTCTTATTATTGTTATCATTATCATTATAATATTATTATCAATTCTCGCTATTCATTTGATTTTTATTTTTTAATCTGTTTATTTTTTCTCGATAATCTGCCTTTCATCTTATATTATTCTCTCTCTTTCATTTTCTCCTCTCTTTTCTTCTATCCCTTCTCTCTCTACCCCCCACTCCTCTCTCTCTCTCTTCTGATTGTCTATTTCTTTCCTCCTTACTTTCTCTTTCTCTCACTTTCCCTTCCTTCATTCTTACCTCTCATCTCCTTCCGTTCCTCCTCCTTCTCTCTCCTATCCGTCCTTTCTTTCCCTTCTTCTCTCTCCCCTTCCCTTCTCTCCTTTTCCCCAGCTGTCTTAAGTTCTTCAGAATCGCCATTTTATTTCATCAGGTCAAGCGGGGTCGCCGAGAAGAACCTTCATCTCCCGGACACGATCACAGAATGGGTGGGCAAAGCGTGGTGCGCCCATCCCCAGAAGGGCTTGGGACTCTCAGAACGGGCGACTATCACGACCTTCACCCCCTTCTTCCTTGACTTGACCCTCCCGCCCTCTGTCAAGCGCGGGGAAGTATTTCCTGTCAAGATCTCCATCTTTAATTATCTTAACCAGTCTTTGCCGGTGAGTTTTGTTTTATTTATTTATTTATTTTTCTTCTTTTCTTTTTCTTTTTTTAGCTTGCCGCTACGTGTCAGCCAGTTATGACAGGCATAAATGGGCATGCGTATTATAAGTGATTTAGCTAACTTGATGCGACCTTCCATGAATTAGAGTGATGCAATTTGCGTATTGTGATTGTTTTCGTTAATTGGACGCGATCTTCCATGAATTAGGATGGTGGAATTTGCGTTTTATAATTGATTTTGTTAACTTGATGCGACCTTCCATGAAATGGGATGATGGAATTTGCACTTTCTATGCGCAGGTAACTATTACATTGCACGAGAGCCCCGAGTACAAAATCATAGAAGATTCGACTGCAGAGGAACAAAGCAATCAGAGGAGGTCGTGTCTCGCAGCGAGAGATAAAGAAGTTCACACAATCAAGATCGCAGCTCTGGAACTAGGAGAAGTCAACCTCACTTTGTCAGCCTCAGTGGACAGCTCTTATCCCGGGTCATGCGCCTCCGTGGATGGGATTGAGAAGAGGTCAGACTAAGCTAAATCGTTGCTACATATAGGCAACTACTTCGACTATTAACTAATCTTACAAATGATGTGATTGTGATTGTTCATTTCTCTTCGTTGGAACAAATTACAGTAAATACTCAACATTTCTTGTCTAATATAGTTTTATGAATTGATTTATGACAACACCATTTTATCAACCGTACTCCAATTGCCATTCCCTCCAGTACATGTGACCAGGTAACAATACTGGAAAAAGGAAGTAATGTAAATAACATTCTGTAATTTCAGTGACGCCTTGATCAAGCCAATAAAGGTCGAGGCTGAAGGTTTCCCACAAGAGGAGACTTGGAGTAAATACATTTGCGCCGAAGGTAAGGAACGAAAAGATCATCAGGATTCTGACAGTTGACATAGTCTCATAAATACAATCCCATTCACAAGAGCTCGTGGAACGGAATGTCTGCACACACACACACGCAAGGTTTCAGTCGAGGAAGTAGAAGTAGAGGGTTTCCGATTCGTTCCAGACTTCAGCGATGGCGAGGGCGCGCTGGAGACGTGGCAGCTGGAGAGACGACCAAATATCGTCCCGGATTCGGACCGAGGCTGGGTCACTGTGGGCGGCGACCTGCTTGCTCTCTCCCTGGAGGTCACCTTTCGTTGCTCTTAAGCTTTTTTAAAGGAATAAAGAATGTTTCTGTGTTCCTTATCAGGTTAACTTTGATAAGTGGGTTTTCTTCTAAAACAAGACAGTGAAATTTCACGTGTACATCACCGTATTATAGAATCACAATCTGATCTACTCCTACAGAATCTAGGGTCTCTCATCCGTATGCCTTACGGCTGTGGGGAACAGAACATGGTCAACTTTGCCCCAAATATCTACATCCTTCAGTATCTTAAGGGCACCAACCAAGACACACCAGAAAGCACCGAGAAACTCCTGAAGTATATGAAAGCAGGTCAGTCCTTGCCACCACACGTTTTGTACAAGTAAAACGTACAAAGAAGGTGAACTTTTAGCAAATGTCTCGAAATCCAGATTGATTTACGAAGACTAAAAGAAAACAAACTTTCAGGTTACCAGAGAGAGCTCCTGTACCGCCATTATAACGGGTCCTTCAGTGCATTTGGGGAAGCTGACAATTCTGGGTCTACTTGGCTCACTGCTTTTGTCCTCAAGTCCTTCGCTGATGCTGAGGAATTCATCTACGTAAGGAATGCTAATGTCATCCATAAAGAGTTACTTTACGGAGCGGTTTATTGTTATGGTTTGTCTAAATGTGATATCTGCCATCTGTATACACTGATTCACGCATACGTATATGTATATGTGTGTGTGTATGCATGTATATATGTATGTTCACACACAGACAGACACACACACGCATATACAGTATATGTGAATACATATACATATCTATCTATATATATACACACACATACATATATACATATATATGTATATATACACACATACATAAATACATACACATACAAACACACAAGGTATGTATGTGTGTATATATGTGTATATGTATATATATACATATACATATATACATATTTATATACATCTATAATTGTGTTTGTGTATGTGTGTGTGTGTGTGTGTGATGTTATGTGTGTATATATTTATGCATATATATTAATCAATATATATATATATATATATATATATATATATATTATATATATATATATATATATATATATATAAACATGTACACACATATATGTATGAGTGGGTATGAATGTATGTATGTATGTGGGTGCGTGTAGCTATATATACAGTTAAGCATGTTAATGTGCTTTTCTCAATCTTATTTTACGAAAAGGTGGACGAGTCCAAACTGAATGTCACCAGAACCTGGTTAAGTTCCACTAAATTGGACCAAGATGGCTGCGTGGTTCCTGTTGGGAAAGTATTCAGTAAAGCTATGAAGGTATGGAATCGCTATGGATGCCTTAAAGTTGCTTTTGTGTACATCTGCCATCTCCAGAAAGCAAAATAAACGAGAAGGATGAAATTATCGTTCTACTTACTTCCACAGGGTGGTCTGGCTGGCAAACAATCTCGTGTGCCAATGACAGCGTATGTGCTCATATCCCTCTTGGAGTCTGGAATTCCTACGGACGCTCCATTTGTCTTAAATAGCATCAAGTGCATCCTGTCTGACGCCTCCAATGACCCATACAGCTTGGCTCTCAAGGCCTACGCTCTTGCCCTTGCCCAGCATGCTAGCTCGCAACAAGTTTTACAAGAACTAATCGGTTTGGCAACAGTGGAGGAAAACCTAATGCACTGGGATCTGCCAAAAGGTATCGCCTCGTGTTACTTAACAGTCATATTTTACTCAAAATATCTGTACCTTGTCCATCCACTAATAAATAGCCTCGACACCCGGTAACAGGTAGGAGTAACGCACTGGCCGTGGAAGCAGCTGGCTATGCCATACTGGCCATGATGGCTCAAGATCCCGAGAAGTACACGCTGCAGGCGAGAAAAGTCGTCAAGTGGATCACCACCAAGAGGAACGGATATGGAGGCTTCTATTCCACGCAGGTTTGCAAACGAATTCCTTCGTTTCACAAAATTTGTTGTACATTTTGCTTTATAGTAGCATTCTGGTAATAGACTTAAAGCACAGCACTTGTTTGCCAGGATACTGTAGTGGCTCTGCAGGCTCTGTCGGTCTATGAAACGCTCACACATCGGGGTCCTCTGGATGTGACTCTTACGATCACAGCCACGGATTTCTCGCAGTCCATCTCCGTGAAGGAAGACAATAAACTCTTACAACAATTGGTGAATCTCCCAGTTGTCCCCACGCCGGTCGACGTCAGTGTAAAGGGCCAAGGCTGCACTGTAGTTCAAGTATGTCTTGCCAACCATACGAAAGATGTTTCTTGTATTTATGTTCTAATGCTAGATTTATAGAAAGCAGGGATAACTATAAGACGCTTCTCGATTCAATCTAACATACTCTGGCAATACTTGTGATATAACGTTAGTGACCTTGGATGCCTTAGCAACACAACTGACACCGCCCTCCCAACCCCAGGCGGTCCTCCGCTACAACATCATCAACCCCGCTCCGACGGACTCCTTCAGCGTGCGAGTGTCAGCCGCCCACGAGCCGGACTCGGGCTGCAAGCGCATGCTCCTCAGCGTGTGCGCCGAGTACCTCCTCCCCGACGGCGAGTCCAACATGGCGGTCATTGAGGTGGGCCTCGTGTCCGGCTACATCCCCGAGAAGAGCGACCTGAAGGCGGCCGTGTACAGAGACTCGAGCGTGAAGCGCTACGACGTCGACGGCCCCAAGGTGTCCTTCTACATCGAGGAGTTCTCGCGCGAGGAGATCTGCGTGTCCTTCGCCGCCATCCGCGAGGTGGAGGTGGAGCAGACGGCGCCGGCATCGGTTCTCGTCTACGATTACTACCAGCCGGAGGCGTTCGCCATGGCGGTAAGGAGGAGGCGGCCCGGCCTTTCGGCGCTGCTTCTCTCACGTCTTTAAAGTCCTGCCTTTCTTCCTCTTCACGTCATCCTCTTCCTCATGACGATCAGTACCACTGCCATCTCAAATAATGTTCCGATCAGCTTAAGTATCCTTATAATCATTCATTATCAATAAGTCTTACCCGTATTATAAACGTCATTATCATTAATATCACTATCATCATTGTCACCAGCATGATCACAGTTCCTATCATTATTAATATCATAATTTTTATAATTTTACCGATAGTAATATTGAGGATAATAGATATGACAATGGTAAATAATGTAAATATGAACAATAATGATATGAATAATCATAACTATGATTATTTTCATCATTATTGTTATTTTTATGATAATGCGTTAACAATAACCCAGGATAGCATACGAATAAAAACGAAGAGGAAAAGCAGGATTATACACAAATTGCGATATTCGTGTTTTCTTCCATTTTCTCTTCTTTTTTTTCCTCTAAACTGGTTCAGTAAGAATTCTTCGTTATTCCGGGTCAAATCTCAGTAAATCAGTAAATGAAAAACTGGCAACTCATCCTACCCTTGAAGTCTTTCAATAATACATAAAAAAATACAATTGAAATAGTAATGAGTCAGTTACAAAAGTTTTGTATCTTTAAATCTATGTAAGTATACATATCCTATTAGCTTTTTGTTGAAATTTGCTAACATCAATCCTACATTTTCTATTTCCACAAAAATTAGAAAACCAAATTTTCTGTGTCCTGAGACTAGACGAAGTATAGAAGAATATCTAATTTTGGTATATGTCTTTCTTCCCCCACAGAGCTACGAACAGCCGGCCATAGAGGAATGCGGTTGACAAGAGGAATGCGCCAAAAAGAAAAAAAAAAAATGTGACAAAAACAATTTCATATTTTCCTATTCTTACATAAATCTTCTTACTTATAATTAGATTATTTTTTAGGGGGGGGGGGGGTGGCAAAACGACTTCCAATATTTGCAACATCTTTTCCCTCATGTAAATCGGTTTCTTGATACATTGCCAGGTTTAACACTATATTGTCTAAATTATGAGAATAAAGGATTCACCTGCAAGACGTTTTCATTAACATGACAGATGCAAAAAATCCCGTAAGATAGTGCTGAATACGACTTTCATTTGTCTCTTCAAGACTATTTCTTCCTGAAAACAAACCTTCTGACGCATCGATATAAAGTTATACAAGAAAAAAACATAAAAGGCTACACCAGTATAAAGTATGAACATGTAAAAGAAAAGAAAATATGTAAATAGATATATACTACAAAAAAGATTTTATTCTTAATAAAGAACACTAGACACATGTAAACACCGGACAACTGACAAGGAAGAACTCCCAAGAAGTTACTTATTATACTGTACTTTACAACGTTATGAATGAACTGAAAAAAACAAGCGAGATCTGTCCATCTGTTCTACAATAATGAATGGAATTTTTTTCTTCACATGTTCACTGACAAGACAGGGTGATGTTTTCAAATCTATTCAATGTAGCAAGTTGTTGAAGACCTTTAGAAAGAATGAGTAAATCGAGGGGAAAAAAAGGTGTAAATCTAGTGTTCTAAGCAGTTTGCACTGTAAAATGCGTCACTCATAGTATACCCTACAACGTAATAGGGTAAACAACGAGCAATTTACCCTTCCTTGAAAAGAGTAAATCATGTATCTTTTTTCTCCTTATTTACTCCTTAATTGGAATGGTAATTTAACCTTTTTTATCTAATTTACATTTTCTGTGGGGTATCATTATATGCGGATTTACCCCTTGTGTACCTGATTTACCCAATCTATGGTAATAACAATTGCTGATATAATCCTTATGTACCTAATCTACCCTTTCTTTGGGATAGAATAATTGATGGGAAATTGGATGTGTTTCTTCATGGTGGTACATATTTTTCTATCAAAAGTTTAGGGATTATAAAATAATTAATGATACAGTAAATTCATTAACTTACATAAATATCTGAATATGTCCCATCAAATATATATATATATATATTATGTGTGTGTGTGTGTGTGTGTGTGTGTGTGTGTGTGTGTGTGTGTGTGTGTGTATTATATATATATATATATATATATATATAATATATATATATATATATATAATATTATATATATAACAGTACATTTCAATGGTATTTATAAACATTAGTTACAACTAAGCTCATTAAACTAAGATTTCGGGCTCAGTACCCAATGTTTCCCAGTACTTTATCTCCACATTCTCACATAAGAAAGATAGTTAGATTAGGTCATAGGTTACTGACCTTAACCTACTTATCAAGGTCACAAATTTGGTTTCCAGATGATGTTTTGTTATAAAAAAAAAAAAAAAATCGCCTTGTCACATTTTTCATAGCAAGGGAACTCCTGTCAAAGAACTCCTGTCAATGGCATGGCCCTAATTTTAAAAATCACAAAAGCCTGTCAATAACACTAAGTCTTAAGGAAATAAGACGAGGAAGGACAATTTGGGCAATCTCTGTGTGAAGTCTAAGGGACTTCATACATGCTCTATCTTCGTAGTTCAGACAGTTCACGATGGTCGTGATTTAGTTTCTTTGAAAACGACCAATAACCATGTAGTTGAGCAGTCATGTTAATGTATTTCAATAACGATTATTTTCACCGAAAAGGCAAGTCTGAGGCGCCTTATCCAGTACTTTATCCAATCTTTTTTCATACACAACCGTTATTAGACAATTAAATCACAGCTTTTTTTTTTTTTTTTTTTTTTTTTTTTTGTCAGGCATTTCTTGTCACGGGTTTGGCCCATGGCTACCCGTATGAGCCACGGCATGTGCGTGACAGGAAAGAGTTCCATCAAGCTTGGGAACGGAGAAATACCCTGACTCTTTGAATATGGAGCACTAGGGGTCTTTTAAGCGCATACACCATAAACCTTTGAATACACATCAGTCGCCCTTTATTAACCCAGTTGAATTGCATTGGACGATGATTACTACAACGCCAACAGCTTGTATGTCAGGCCTATTTCTCACAGAAAAGCCAAAAAAGTAGAGATTTCTAACTTCCTAGTAGACCTATGTCTCAGAATAGAGAACTAGGCCTGATCAAACAACCAGTTCTGTAGCAGCGAAAGTAACGTTCGTATATGAATTAACCATCATGATTTAGGTGCCTTATTATGACCCCAAGGGAGTTCCCGAGATGACTTGACTTCGTACAGGGAAATAAGGTATGGGGAACATTGGTACTGGGGAACAAATGTCTGTGGAACAACGGAATAGGGGGAAATAGGGACCAGGAAACACAGATATACTCCCATAACTTCTTAGGGGCCCACAATTATGTCGATATGGCAAATCATCAGGATCAACATAACAGAATGTTATAGTACATGCAATAATATAAACAATGATTAGTAAAATCATTAACATTAAATATTTCCCAATGATTATCTATTCTTACATATATATTAAACGTTTCAGAATTGGTAATCTTCTGTGATAGGCAATTTGCTCCAAAGTAAGTAACCATAGTGGCTTACGAACTTTTCACTGAACGCAGACTTTGGTCTGAACGGTTGCAGACATACACTGCTTTTAGTGTCTATATTAGAAGATAGATATGTCGTTACAGCTGATTAGAAATCCATTTCAAGACTTTAAAGCAATGAACGTCGAGCAGCTTCATTATTACTAGTGGGCTAGTGTCAATAAATAAACATTTGTGCACACGTACACACATAGTTATGGGACCAGATTAATGTCTCTACCACTGCTTGTCTTGCGCCCACACCAGCTCGTAACAACAGGACCGCGTCTCTCCATTCTCCGTGAAGAGACTTTGTGGGACATCTAGTATATGTCCAAATATCAGTTTGAAGCCGAAGCATTCTAGAAGTTGGGCATATTTTAAGTAGAGTTTCATTCTAGATTCTGTGAAAAAAGAACAACAGATTTTACTTAGCATTGGTAACATATAAGGAAATTTTCGTATAGTTTTCATATACTATATGTTTACACACATGAAAAAAGAAGGAAACAAACATATTTTTGAACGAACGGAAGTATGTGCATGTTAATAGACAAAATAACAAAATTCATAAATGAAAATGGTAGTGTTAGAATAATATCTGTATGTGCCCTTAAGCTAAGGTTTTATTTGTATATCTAGAGTAGAAAAAGAAAATTAAAACAGTGATCATATCCTCCCAGAATAATACAAAGGAAAGATGGTGTAGCAACTGATTGGACCACAACGGCGACCAACCGCCGAGTCCTAACTGATCGACAATGGAAACCTCACTTCTCATCACTTAATTCGATTTCCTCGAACATTCCAGTTATACGTCATACTCTGGACATATAAAAAAAAAAAAAAAAAAAAATGGACACCTCACCGAACAGCAAGAAACTCAATGCAATAACTGACTTCTGGCTACAAAACCAACTGCAAGAGTTAGAACATCCATCACAACACATCACTTACAACACCTAGTCATCACAGAAGGGCGTCTCAAAACCCTCTCATAACCTTATAGGAGATAAATGTACGAAGTTTCCTATTAGTTACACTGGTGGCCCTGTGGTAACGCGAATACACAGTAACTTCCTCATATGACTAACTACAAGGGGTAAAGGGAAAGTGCTGTAGCAACCTTGGCCTCAAACAGTAACTAAGTTGGCCATACTATGTCCTACTTATTATTGACCCACAGTAGGCATACCTCGCGACCCACTGCCTGCTTCTGACCTCTCAACAGAAGACAATTCACAGGTCACATTTTGGACAGCTGATCCCTGCTAACCTAGCTCATGGTTTAAAGGAAAATTCAAGGGATATCTAATGACATGGGTCTGGATATTTGGACACTCCTCAACAAGCAGTCTTCGTTGACTGGGGATCCCACAGCACTTTATCACTTGCAAACCCAGCCTTCACAGTGACATTGCACAACCCACACAACCTTATAAGAGTTAAAGTCAGAAAATCCGTCAGAGGAAGAAATTTCAGAGTAACACAAAGCTAGTGAAATATGCTCGCGTAAAACTCGGACTTACCATTTCTCTTGGTATGAATTTCCATCCCGATCTGTTTAATGTTTTTCAGCACCTCAGGCGTATTGGTGAACACGTCTTCGAAGAACTGTAACTCTGCTCCTTCTACGTCCATCTTCAGGTAGTCAATGGTGGCGTTTTCGTGGCCTAACCTCATCAGAATGTTGATGTACCGGTCTACCTGTGGGCGACAAATCTTTGTGACACTACAAAGATTTAATTTGCATTTACGATTTTTAGTCCATTGATCAAAAAGGTCTAATGAATACCAGAGTAAGGTGCCACATCCAATCTTCACATCCATGAGGTTCTCTTTTGATCAGCCACCAGCCACAACTTCCAAGGGTGTGCCACAGGTCTCTTCCCAACCTTAAGGTGTCAATCTGATAAGCAGGATCATTATCAGGCAGCCTTAACCGTGTCCATATACCTGAATAGTCCCAAGGAATGGACTTTGAGACTAAAATGACGCCATATGAGTGCCCTACAGACATAACCAAGTGTTCCCTCTCATAGACTGGATGGCAGTTTCACCGGGTCCACAGCCGTTAATCCTATGGAACTGTGGTGCAATGTATGGTATAGTGTCAGGGTATCCCCAGACACTGATGCTCCATACCTCCACGGCCACCTATTGCTCCGAGATCCTAAGCTGTATAATCTGAGGCCACATGGTACCTGGATCACGTGGCGGTTCTGCAGAAGGTGATGAAGAGGCTGTCTTAGCAAAGGTTTATGCAAAGCTACTCCTTCCACATAAGGGTAATGTCAGCAGATAAAAGCAAGAACAAATGCAAGCACAACACTATAATTAACAG